CTGGCAAATGCTGCCCTGACGTGTACTTAAACATTTAACAGAGACCACAAGTAATCCCACCCACAGTTATAGTACTATCAGAGAACAATTCGAAAAATCTGGCAATTCCCAGGTACTCATTTACCATTAATACTTTTATCTCGCTCAACAAGACTGATATTGGTATATTGCATAGATATTTTCCTAAAACACGAAATCTTTATGAATTGGTATTTTATGGTACGCATATCTTCTATGATCTATATATTCTTAAACTTTTCAAATAATCATAAAAATTTCATTCATAAATTTCAGATATAAATTGCACACAACCCGCCATCGATGACTTTCCCAAGGATCTGTTCACCGAGGCGCAGAGACAGTCAGGTGCTGTTGTACTTCATGTGATAGCCAGTTTATATTTATTTGTAGCATTAGCGGTAGTATGTGATGAGTACTTTGTGCCTGCAGTCGAAAAAATATGTGCAGGTGAGTGATTGTAGTCTAAAGCTTAAATTAATGGTGACATAACCATAACCATAAACATATAAAACAGCTGTTCCAACCACCCTTATGGCCAACACTGTATTCGATAAGTGGTGCCACACCATAACGCCATAGTCATAACCATAGCCATAGAGACCAATTGAATTTTGATTTTCCGCCATAACCATATCAGCTGATATCTGAAGTGAGTGTTGCTAGACGTTCAAAAAAAAAATATATATATTGTTCACAGCCAACGTTTTGGAATAAGTGTAGAATATGAACCATTTAGCTATGCAAAAACCAAAAATTTGTATTGATAGAACTTCTCACGCTGATTTCAACTGTACCAAAATTATACAAGTACAAGTTATAACTTTTAATTTGATGTACATATTTTATTATGATCTGCTGTTGAGTTTTAACAATTTAGTGTTAATTTAGTGATAGTGAAAGAAGTTCTGCGCAAGTAACCAACGATATTACACATTTTGCGCGTCTGGCAACACCGACATTTTGACTACGAAAAATCAGCTGTTTATGGTTATGGTACCTTTAATCGATGATAGTTATGGGTATGGCGTTATGTTATGTCACCAATAATTTAATCTTAAAGTGAAGGAAATGTTTCTCACCAAATTTTAGTTACCGTTGAGTTTTAAATTATGTTTACTCCTTCCCCCATCTCTCCGCAGCGTTAAATATGTCAAATGATGTGGCTGGTGCCACTTTTATGGCTGCGGCCACATCAGCGCCCGAACTATTCGTCAATGTGATAGGCACATTCATCACAGAGGGTGACATCGGTGTGGGCACCATTGTCGGCTCGGCGGTGTTCAATATTTTAGCGGTGGCCGCGTGCTGTGGGATTGGCGCGGGTATGGTGAGTAGCCTAAAATATGTAGTGAGTTAAGTTTCTAATACTGATTTAATTTTTTTTTTGTATCACTCTTTGCCCGATCTCCCGCAGACCATTCCACTAGATTGGTGGCCCTTAACACGCGATAGCATAGCGTATGGCGTCACAGTCGCCATATTGATTTGTGTTATGCACGATGAACGTGTCGAGTGGTATGAGGCGCTGATATTGGTCTCGCTCTATGCTGTTTACTTGGCAGTGATGTATTTTGATAAATCGTTTCAAAAATGTGCAAAAGGTATGAAGTTGGCGATATACATATATCTACTTTCATATATGTATACATAAAATACTCGAAAATTTGTATTACAATTGGTTTAAGACAATATACACTTACTTACATACATATTTTTATGCTTTTACACACAAACACATGCAATTAAATAGGTGGCGTGAAACAGGCCCGCTCGCGCAGCCGTTCATCCAATTGCAGCATACAGACAAAGAACAGCAATGAAAAAGAACCAGGTTGATGGAAATACATACATATAAACATATACATACGCACATGTATAATATTACAAAATATACTAACTTATGCACATTTGACCATACCAGAAAAAAATCTCGTCTTACACCTCTGAGTCTAAGATATTTTTGCAAGGCATTTTTTTCATATATTCGGCATTTACAGTTGGATCTGCAATAGTGTTATATCGATGTTCCGCTCACGATCAGTGACTATTTTTCTAAGTTCATTGACCTTACGTACTTACCCATGGGCATAGCCAGGTAGGGGCAGGGGGGTGATCGAGCCCCCCCACCCCCCTAACTTTCAAATTTTCCTTATATATATATAAAATAGTTCCCTGAAATGCCAGCTTAATAGGGTCGAGCTGCCCCCCTAGATTTCATTCTGGCTACGCCGATGTACTTACCCACCCTATCTCACTTCCTATCACCCTAATGTTAGTAGTCTAAAGCTCGCCAAAAATCATTAAACTTTTGCTAAAGCTGCCTTTACAAGGGTCGATTTCTGTCGACTGGAAAATCGGCCAGTCAAAATACTTATTTGCCGTGCAAAGGCAGCTTAAGGAAGTGTTATGATCATTTCAGTAGAATTTTGTGCAACTTTTTTTATTCCCGAATATAAATAGGTGTCACCAAAAAAACTTAAAGCGGCAATCTCTAAGTTCGGCGAAAAAAATAATAAAACTTGCCTTCTAAAAATGCTTCAGAATTTCTCGAGGAGATAACTTTTTTCTAAGTTCATTGACCTACAGTTCCTACTACCCTAAAATATCTACCACTCTAATGTCAGTAAATAAAAACTCTCACAAACTTTTGCTAAGAAAGTATCAAGGCGAATTAATATAAGGTGATAGCAGGAGTACAAAAACAAAAATTTACATGTATTTTGTTTTTGCTTTGGCGGCATAAACTGTCAAAATCTGTAAGAGTGTGTGTAGAAATTCAAACAAAATTTTTCAATTTGATATCAGAAGCCGTGCGGCGAAACACATACACAAAATCAGCTGAGCTAGTAACACCACCTTATATAAATTCGCCTTGGAAAGTATTTTGATATTATTCCAGTATAATAATTTTTTATTGCCGAATGTATTTAGGTCCCGAAAAAAATTGTTTTCCAGCTTGCCTTTCAAAAATAGTTTAGAATGAGGGATGTACGGCGAAAATGTTTGGTTTACTGTGGTGTAAGGTGGTACGGTCTCATGTACATACATATACTTCTGTACATAAATAAACTAATAAACACACACATTTAATTGCGTTCATATATTTAGTACATATTAAGTGAACATCAATTTTTTTCTGAATATTATTATTTTTTTTATTTACATAACTTTATCATACAAAAGAAATAATGTATTCTTTCAAACTCGGCCAACTAGAATTAGTTATTAGAGCAAATGTTAGGAAATCCTAGTTACTAAGGGGTGCAGTCTGAACGATATCATCATCAGGCCACGAAAAATTGGAAAGACACGCTAATTGAGCCTAGTTAAATATAACCCTTGTAACTCGCGTAACCCTTGCCAGTAATGAATCTCCTAGAACCCAAATCTTGGTAAAGCTATGTAAACGGGTGCAATATGAGACTGCCAATCTACATAACAATGTCTAGTTTAACCATCACCTGTTTGGTTAAAGTAAAAGGAAATGAAATCCACACAGTCTAAGCTAAACAATTTCCAAAGTCGGCCAAGCTACTTACTTTTTATAACCAAACGGATCTCACGAGGAGAGGTGGAGGAGTGGAGGATAAAAAAACAATGCACCTTTCCACTTACAGTTTAATAGGAGTAGGTACTACAAGCTAGCCTTGATGCCTTCCGTGGTACTCGTATAATTTCTAACTACCCGAATTCCGAGAGTGAAGGGGTGGAAGGCAGTAACTAAAAGATAGGACCCGTCGAAGCTTGATGGAAAGTTTGACGGAGGTACCTTGGGTCGTGAACTCATCATCAGACTTAAGTTTAGACTTATGGTGGGTGGGGTGGGTGTACCAGAGACGATCGTGAAAGTTTGTTGGAGTGATAAAGCGACATGTCTCGAACTTGGATAGTGTTTTTCAGGTCAAAGTTCGATCAGAATTCACGTGGTGAGGCAAAATATCTCAAAAACGATGACGTGGAATCCACGTTATACTTTGTTCTAAGCAATCCAGCAAGCTGAGGTCTAAATTTTAGCTAGTAAAAAAATTTTGTCAAATTTCATCTCTTGGCGGAAAGATAATCCACCTATCGTCCAATGCGAAATATCTGGCAGTACTTCCAGATACCAAATTAAACGGGAAACTTAATGACCTTCAATGGAAACTGGGGTTTAAAACCGAAACTTGTGATGTGGATGTACACCGCTATCAAAGGCCAATCCTAACCTACGGCACCCTAGTATGGTGGCAAATAATACAATGTCATTAAACTAAATAGCGTACAAAGAGTGGCATGCTCGGGGGCAACTGGGTCAGTGAAATCCTGCCCTTCATAAGCACTGAACGTAGTCCTCAGTATGATGCCTATTGAGCTATGCCTAAAGGAAACCGCGATGTACTCAGCATTACGACTCAGAGGGTCTGAGCTATGGGGATTGATGAACTTTGGGCATAGCTCAATCTTAGGCCTCGATAGGAAATAAAATCGCAGGCTGTACGGTATCAAGCCTTGGCTTGAATGTACAAGTTCTGCCGATAAGGAAGCCATCTGTATCTACACTGACGGGTCCAAGATGGATTACGGTGCAGGGACAGGGGTATATTCCGAGGAGCTTGGAGTCAATCGATCCCTCCAGCTGGAAAACCATGCATGCATAGGCATATGTGATGTCTGTCAAGCTAGTAAAAGAAGGAGATATGGAGCTACGCTCGGCGTCTCAGTCAATGTTCATCTATCTTGACTGGGTTCCCAGCCATAGGAACATTGAAGCCAACGAGAGAGCAGATGAACTGGCCAAGGCGGGAGCTTGTTTGGAAAAACCTGTAGCAGTGATACTGGGTTATGCCCTCAGAAAAATACAAAGAGAAATCCACTTGCGCCTTCTGGAACTGGCAAGGAGGAGGTGGTCAGAGATTCAGACTTGCAAGATAGCACAAGAGCTTTGGCCTGACTTTAATAGGAAAATTAGTAGGAAAAGAACTGCAGAACTGCTAATTAGGTCCAGGATAGAAGTATCTAGAATTATAGCGACTATCACCGGTCATTGGTCACTAGGGAAACATGCTTGTAGAATAGGTCTTCCATATTACAGAATATGCGCCGCTGCGGCTTGGATGGCAGCGAAGAAACAGTATTTCATTTCCTATGCGAATGCCCAAGTCTGGCTTATTTAAGACATAAAACTTTCAGGAAACACTAACTGAAGCAGATATTGGATTTATCTACAAATACATAAGCGGTTCTAAATGGTTTGATTAAACTGCTGAAATATTCTGACAGGTAGGCTACGGTAGAATAAAATATCATTGTCCACGAGAAATGCACCAAAATGGCGCTTTTAGGCGCTAATTGATTCCTGAGTGACAACATGGGTAGAACTCCATATATAGGAAATATCTAAGGCGGAAACCTGTCTGACTGACTCTTTCAGGTGACACCGGCCTGTTCTCATCAATAAATTTTTAAAATAATTAATTTAGTCTGAGCTCCAAATTGTTGGACGAAATGTAAGGAACTAATATCGAAATTATTTAAAATTTCAACTAAACTCCCGAGTTACATATATACGCTAGGAAACCATATCTCAAAAATACTGGGAAGCTGGCTCCCTTTATTAATTGACTCTTCGGTAGTCGTTTGAGAAGCACCACTTGGAAATGTTAAGAATAACTTTTCCAGAATTTCCGAACTTTAGATAGGATATGAATGCGAAAAGGTGTGCTCACTTTTAAGATCTCATGATTACTTGTTTCCGCTGATTGCTCTTGCAAAAATATTTATCTAACGCTAAATCTTATCTCTTAACTATTTAACAATATACCCCTTTCATGCAGCTTGAATCCATTTTGCTTACTAACACTAATAAGCAAGTACTTTACATAAACCTTACCCCTATTAACCATTTAACTAACAACAAATGACCAATGAACTCATTCTAAACATCAATAATCCCCCTTCACCGCCTTGCAGACCTCGTCGAGAATCGTATTTGCCACAAACTCTCCACTATACAATTAAATGGCGGCGTAAATAATGAGCCACCAAAGCTGCAACCAACGGCATCACCACCTCCTGCAGCCACCACCGCAGCCACGAATTCGAATACGAATTCAAATTCTAATACCACAGCAACAACAACAACAGCAGCTATTTTACAACCACCGGCCGATGCTAAAATTCTAACCGCCACAATTGCTACAGAAAAAGCAGCCGTGGAATTACAGCCGACTGCAACAGTCGGCGGCGCTGTCTCGGTAGCTATCCCGCCATCAGCAGCAAGCGACGAGGAGGATGAGGAAGAACATTATAAATTGCTGCACTATCCAAAGGATAAAAGCTGCTTTGCACAATTCACTTGGCTCATCATTTGGCCCATACATTTACTCTTTCGCATAGCGATACCGGATTGCAAGAAGACAAAGAATAATAAGATATTTCCATTGACTTTCATTATGTGTATTGTGTGGATTGGCTCGTTGTCTTATGTGGTCGCTTGGATGATCACCATTATAGGTGAGTGCGGTGCATGTGTAGTAAGTAGTTTTTAAATTTCTTTAATTTCCCCATTTTTTCTCAGGTGACACACTGAAAATACCAGATTCAGTAATGGGTATCACTTTTCTGGCTGCGGGCACAAGTGTGCCGGAGGCGGTTTCCAGCGTTATTGTGGCTAAAAGAGGTAAATAATGTCGGAAAGCGTATTATAGATACTGGATCTAGCAAAGAGTTAACACCTAACCCTACGAAAATGCTTAATAACTTCTGTGGGATTCAATAAAGTATTTACATCTTGGAAAACCAGCAAAAAAGGTGTCTTACCGCTCGAAAGCTCTCCGCCCCCAATTAGTATAGACACATGCTACTTTCGAACTTCACGTAGCACCTACATACTTAACAACAAAGCAACTAGTAACGGAGCCTCTGAGAAAACTATCTTAGTACCGTTGGACTTATTGGAGGCTTCCGATACTGTAAGCCATTTCCTGTTACTAGAAGGCATTCAGACTTAGTGTCTGCCGTCTGGGCTGAAACATATCATTGCGTGGTCGAAAATCTTCAGTAGTATTTGAAGATTAAGCACCCAAAAGTATCCAAATTAGTTTTGAAGTTTATGCCTAGCGAAACTCGCTACCAACTAATTGATGATTGCTATAACGACGTTCGCTAAAGAAATCTCTCAGACTTTTCTTACTTCTGCATCACAAAGGCCCTTTTGCGCTAGCCTGAGGGTCAATTCCCGTTCTGCGTTATCCTGAAGTGATAAAAATAACACCTTTACACCGCATTTATTTCGGTGTTAATTTTATACTTTTAACTTCACTTCACGATAACGCAGAACGGGAATTGACCCTCTGCTCTCCTTACTAACATATATAAACGCAATCATAATTTAAGTAAATCGCTGCTGAGCACCACCTTCAAGCAAGCAGTCTCCAAGTACCAGGTTGCCGATATTTGCTTGAGATCGAGCATCTCCAGACACGTCACGAGCCAGATTTTGGACTCAACAGTCTACAGACAGACATTAACCCTTTCGGGAACGTAAGTCTATAAATAAAAATCCTTCTTGTTTCTTGAGGTCGGTAAAAAAATAATTTTTAAGAGAAAATAAAGAAAAAGTAATTATTTATAACTCGAATTCCTCCAAAATTTTATGATAACAAGTAATTTTTAGCAAAAAAAAAACCGACTTCAACACTCATATAAAAAAAATATATATATATATATCTCATGATCCGCTGATCGGATCTTAACCAGATTAGTATGCCAGGACCACCTCTGAGACACTACCTTTCCGATGCAAAAAGAATTATCGAAATCGGTTGACGTGGTCCAAAGTTATGCGGTAACATACATAAAAAAAAAAAAAAAAAAAAAAAAAATATTCCGACGAACTGATAACCTCCTCCTTTTTTGGAAGTCGGTTAAAAATAACTTAATAAAAACTGGACACATAAAAAAGAGAAACAGTTTTGTTATAAAACCGACTGTTTCTCGGATCTGAGTTGAGCTTGACGACAAAAACTAACTTCTTGATCGATCTATCCATGGCTAAGTAAGCCGCCACAACCACAAAAACAAACGCCGTTTTCAGGCGTCAGGAGTTAGTCTCCCTTGTGAATACAAAGTCGTCAAAGGCCATTTCGACCGATTGGGATTCCTCATTTCGTTTGACAAAAACCAATGAAAGACACCCCGAGTCGAAAGAAAAGATCTACATAAAGACGTCAGCTTGTATGTATTTGTCTACGGGAATTTTTCGACTGGTTTTTCAGACTCGTTAGGTAGCCAGCGAATAGCAAAAAGGAGTAAATTAGATATGGCGTGCCTCCTCCGTGATACCTTCCTCACAGTTATCTATTTGTACTAACCAAACTAAGCTATAGCGACTACCTAAACTCTCTAATTTCACTGCATATTTTTCATTCTCCTTACAGGTCACGGTTCTATGGGAATTTGCAATTCGATCGGCTCGAATACTTTCGATATACTACTTTGTTTGGGTGTACCTTGGCTCATCAAAGCTGTCTTCTTTCCCATACAAGAGGGACAAAACTATGTCGGCATCAATTCAGCTGGACTGGAGTATTCGGCTATAACGTTACTCTCCACCCTCTTTTTGCTCTATATCACATTCTCGTTCAATAAATTCAAGCTGGATCGAAGAGTGGGCATGGCCTGCTTGGTTATGTATTTGGTCTTTATGGTATTCGCATCGCTGATAGAATTGAATGTTTTCTTCCGGGTCAACTTGCCAACATGCGGACGTTCGTGAAGCGTGCACGCGAGCAGAGAGTACGTGATGGAGAGGGGCGACAAGGATAGAAAGTAGTAGTAGCGTGTGCGAATTTTACGTACAAATTTAAGTGGTAAAAAAAGAAACAAACTGGGCACAAAATCCAATTATATGTAGCAGTGAATTGGGAGAAGAAAAATTATAAGTTCTGCTGCAGTAAAAAAAAAGTATTTGTAAAAACTAAAATAACAAAAACATAGTTGAAGATATAGCAGTTACAAACAACCAGTTGGTTATGCAACTCAGCTGCTTACTAATATATTTCTTTTTCGTTGTACAAGGGTATTATAAGTTTAAGTTTTATTTTGTTAACATTTTTATTTAATTTTTTTGTTGTTAATTTTTATGCCAAAGCGCAGTGGTTTGAGCGAAAAGTGTACTCTATAATTTAATGTAAATAAATTGAAAAGAAAAACTTTGTAATAATTGCTTTCTTATTCAATGAAAAAATTTAAAGTGTCGAATTCATGAAAATAAATAAAGTCATGCGGTGAAAATATACATATTCACCAGTTACAACCCTTTTGCTTAATTATGTAAAATGTAAGTTGTGTAATAAATAAGTTTCCTTTATAAAATCTTAAAAGCGTTAAAAAAATGCAATATTCGGTGTGGAAAAAAAAGATTTTCGTAGCATTTAGTTTAGCACTTACATTTGTAAAACTAGCTTTTGATTAAAATTTAAAAAAATAAAGTTAAAAAAAATTAGATCAAATTTTCAGTTTTAAATTAAATTTTAAAAATTGTTTTCTTCGGTTTCCGGTAAAACTAGTTTTGTATTAAACATTTTTAATATAAAGCTTTCACAAATTTTTTTAATTAAATTTTTAAATACATACTAATAAATTTTGCAAAATCATTTCCTTCGGTTTTCGCTAAAACTAGTTTTGGATAACAAAAAATATTTAAACAAATTTTTAAACACTTTAAATCAAGTGTTCAAATATAATTTTGAAACACTTTAAAAAATTTCCAAAAATGTTTCCACCGGTTTTCTGCTCGATTTCGTTTGCTAATGTAAATTTAATTTGTGTAGTTTTTTCCTTCGGGTTTCGGTAAAATTAGTTTTGGATTAAAAAGGTTTACAATAAAGTTTGCAAATATTTTATAAATAAGAGTTTTTCCTTGAGTTTTCCGTAAAATTATGTAGTTTCGTACTAAAAATTTACAAAGTATTCAAAAATGTTTCCGCCGTGTTTCTGCTCGAATGTGTATTTAATTTTCCTTATAGCTCAATATCGATGCGCATATTTGAGCGATATTGTTATTTTTTCAGCATAACTAAAATTTATTTTTCGCATTACCTATGTGAAGTTTTTATAAATTTAAATAAATAATATAAATAAATATAAAATCAAGTAATATATAATGTTAATGTGCGCAGTTTTAGACCGTTAGTTGCTAAGATTTGTAATTTTAAATATTAAATAAAAAAATTAATTAAATTATCTTTTTGAGTTTTTATAATCTTTTTACCAAATAATATATCTTTTTATTTAGAAAGCTCCATACATATGTATTTACAAACATATTTTATGAAGAGCTTGCAAACAAAGTAGAAAAATTTGTTTTTGAAATAATAATTTTTTAAATATATTTATTTCAGAAAATTTTGATTAAAAATTGTATGCATCAATATTTCAAAAGAATTAAGAATTTGTTGTTCTATGGGATTCTCGAAAGAAATAAGCATGTCAAATTTTTCCTATTTCGATCTATATGTGCAGCTCAAGCTCATGGCACCTCTCAACCTTAGAAAGGCTTCTGAATATGTACATATGTATTTTCGACAGGTCCTACATCCCAGTAAGCCAACACACTACCAACACTCCTACTCTAAAGGCAACTACGATGCCTGGGGTATATCGAGCGTATGCAAGATGCTATTGACAACGTTTTTCTTCGAACAGCACGAACTTTTAAAACTCTTTGTTTATTTGATTTATTTTATGTCACACAACCAAAATATTTTCTCACTAATAGAAAAAGTTTAAAACCCCCTCACTGATTATCTAGTTAAATTTCCAAGAAATCAATACGCCAACAATGACGTCCATTTCAGTGGCTGTTTTCAAAAAGTTAAGACGCGATTTGCGCGCCTTTCATTGTATTTTTTGATCGACAAGTGCGGTATTATTTCGTTTAATGAGGTTTTGACAAATTAAGACCGTTATATATAAAACAATAAAGTAAATGTTGATAATAACTAATCACAAAATAATCATTGCCAAGGCGTGCTTTGATAAATGTCTTACAATGCCAAGGAGATCTCAATCGATATGCGTAAGTTGTATTTATTATTCTATACGCGTACGTATGTATGTATATTAGACCATAATAGAAAAAAAGTTCGCCGCACACCTTCGAATCCAAAGTATTTTTGCAAGGCAATTTCAAAACAAAAATTGTATGCTTTTACGCCAAACTTAGGGGTCGCCATTTTACATTTTCGTCATATCTTCGGCAAATACGGTTAGATCTTAAAGTATGATATATCGGTGTTCTTGTTTTAAGGAGATATTTTTTTTTTGTTTTAAAGTTAATTACCCTAACGTACCATCCTAGGCAGTTCCACAGGTAATTCAGTGCGCATTCGATTTCCTCCCTATCACGTCAGCTACGACAGTAATCGTTTGACTGCATACCCATCCTACTAGCGGGGGTTCCCATCCGGCAGTGCACGGTGAAAACTCCAATTACATTCCGAAGCAGTGGTCTCTCCAAGCAGAGTAGAGGGTTAGACCTATGCTTATCCAACCTAGGCCAAATATGCTTTGCTGTTTCTTGTAGTATAGAACTAGTCTTATTTACATAAAGGATGTATAAGCTCACCAACGAAAGTATTTCCTCTAGGAAGCCGTTCTGCCAGCCCACTGTCCAATCGCAGTCCTAACTACCGCAGTGGTCTAGAGATTTTTGAGAGACACAATCACTATACACAATATTTCTTCTAGGTTGCCCAGCTTTAGCGATACTAAGATGGAACTATCTGGTATCGCGCTTTATAACGCTAGCATACTGATAATAGCCGCCTGCTTAACTACTTGATTGAATTGCGCCGTTTCAACGATTGAGTTATGGCCGAGCTTATCCACCAATTTTTAGTAGCAGTATTTTGGAGCGATCTGAAATTCTTAACTATCTCCGAATGTCCAAATAATGCTTTGTCCAGCTCCTGCTCCAACTTGTGGTGTGCGGGCTGATGTTATAACAAAAATTGAGAGACCTACAATTTTAGACCGCCTCCGAACGGCAAATGGACAAGCCTTTGCAATACAGGTTTGCCATTGCCAGCTGGAGGCCAACCGCTGTTAAAAAATAACACTTCCTAATTTTAGATGTGCTCGTACTAGGGATCGCATTCAGAACCTACAGAGTGGTAGTACGCGTCGACGGTTTGCCCGTTAATAGGCGAAGGGCCGGAAAATAATGGAAACTTAACCAAGCCCTCATACAAATAACTTTTTCCATAAAATTGCATAAAATAGATAAAGCATCGAAAATAGGAGAAGTATCCTGCATGGGGTATCATCGCAAAAGTGGTCATTAGCACATGAGTTGTGTACATGACTGGCCCAGGTAAATGGATCTTAAAAAATATTTTATGGAATCTTTTAAAGTAATTGTTACTGAACTTAGGTAGCCAAGCCACTAAACGACTTGCACGCACTGTAGGCCTGCTCCACTGGAATTGCAACTCAAAATTTTCCACTCACATGCTGCATAACTAACTAATCACACGTACATTCAGACAAATACAAAAACACAAGATCATATGTACATATGTATGTATATATATTAAAGTTAGTCTATTTACATGTGTATGAATATTTTGTATGTACTAACCGATAATTTCGCTTATCATGAAACTGCATTTTTCGGCAGCAAATAATTCACAAAACTCAGTTTTGGCTGCTGCAGCTGATCGACTGCTATAAATGCTGCGCTTAAGCCCGACACACACTTCATTAGAAAGCGGATAAGCAACGAGTGAAGCAATTATACATAGTATATATGGAAGTACAAAAAGACACGGAAGTGAAGTGTAACAACTAAAGTGATTTGTGTTCGAAAATCTAAAAAACAAAAAACACAAAGTGTAAAAATTCTTAAAACTTTTTTTTTCTATTGCAACTATTTTTCATTCTTTTCGCTTTGCGCATACGAGTGCAAGTTGGTTTAAAGAAATATTTTCTATTGCGAATGATGGACGAAAATTGCTTACAAAAATGTGAAAGTCGAACTTTCGTTAAAAGTGTTTACCTAAATTCGAATCGAAAAAAATCGAAATTGTGGGTGCAACGACGTTGTTGCATTTTTGTTGGTGTGATTTTGTTCTTTTACGCAAATTTTTTATTATTTGACGTTGACTGGCGGCAACAAGTGGAGAAAGGTGAGGAATATAAAATTTTAATATACATACTTATATGTAGTAGATATAACGGGTGTGATTGTAAAATAGAATTTCTTTTTTCGGCACCCAGAATATTTAACTCATTACATGATAGAACTTCATTAATAAATATTTTATACAAAAAAAATGTTAAATTAAAACAAGGTTATTAACATTCAAACGAGTCTGAATTCTGAAAAAATTTAAAATTAAAGAAAAAGGTTTCTAACATTCAGAAAAGTCTGAAATTAAAATCCTGAGAAAAATGTGTACAATTAAATATTTTACTTAAAAAATGCTTTATCAAAAATTTAAAAAAGCAAATTTAAAACTTTTAAATATTAACACGCACATATAACACCGTGCGACAGTAAATTTTACACACAAAAAAATTAAATATAAGCGAAACTATGGGCAAATTATAGCAAAACTGCGTACTACTACTACTTTTTCTCACTGGCGTCAGAATTTTTTAAAAGGATTTTGCAATTTAAAAAATATGATTATTTAAAAAAACTATTTAAAAATTCGGTGCAGTGTTGAGTAACAATAAGGGTATCATATAAAAAAAAATTCTATATATTTATAACAGAATACATTTTTTGGTACACAAGGACGAACGGGTGTGGAAAATGTCCTTTACAAATTTTGTGCCTAAATATCCTTGAAAATTTTCAATATTATTTTTTGTAATTATTGCTTGGGGCTAAAATACGCACGACCTCATCATCGAATTTCATCTTGAAAACTTTATTAACTTAAAAAGATTAAATTTATTAAAAGCGCATTTTCATTACCTATTTGTCCTTGTAAATCCAACAAACTTTATTCTTTTTAAATTGTACTTTATTCTTTTTAAATTTTCTCTTTCATTTGGTATTCATATTGTTATTCTAGATTGCACTGATGTTTTAAAATAATTTTTTGAATTAATCACATCTTTAAAATTTCAAAGCCCTTCGAAAAAAAATGCTGACGTCATTGTGAAAAATTAAAATTTGCGTTTTACTATATTTATTTTTTTTTTTGTTTTTGTCGCACGGAGTAATACAACGGGAAATATTTTTTTAATTTTGTGTCTAGATCGTTTTAAACTACCTCCTTAAGCATCGCCCCTGACAAAGCTTCAGAGTACAGAGAATTTTCCTTACTAGAGTGTGACATTTTAAGAAGGGATCACGTAAATTCCGCATCGGTCAACCTTTAATTTAGAATCGAATACGAAAAGAGAAAGGGGTTATTAAAAGGTGAAATTTTTTTTGGTAGAAACGGAAACGCGATTTATTTATGCTGTAATATAAAAAAAGGCCAAATCCATACTGATATCTATTGTCGTTTAAAAGAAATGATTTTTTTAAATTTTTGCATACTTCAAAATACAACTGTCAATAGCTAGGACAAATAAAAGAATTTTTCGAAATAGGCACTTAACAGGGATATACCTTTTCAAAAATCTGTGACTTTTTAATTAATAGATTATCGAAATTTTCGTTACACACTAGTCTTTTTCATCCACTAGAATGATTTTTCAACCAAATCGGAGTTATTTCTCTCATCATTTTATTGATTTTTTATTTGAATCTAAACCTTTTTTAACTCCAAAAAATATTGATATGAAAGTCATTCGGGTATTGTTTTTCCGAAAAAATTTTTATAAATTATCAATAATTATTCATGGAAATAAAAATATACATGTGTATTTGCAACTAGAAATGCTTTTTTAATTAATGTTTGTTTACAAATTTTAATTTTTCCTTAGTAGATTGATATGCAGTGATTTTCAAATATAATTTTTTAGTTAAAATTTTGGTTTAGTTGAGTTCATTTCCACATGGCACATTTTAAATGACACCAATTTTTTGTCGTTTCAATGTCTAGTGGAAATTCGGCATATCGAGGGCTTATATTCAATACCCACTATCTGCAAAAACTCAATTTTCCAGGAGAGCAAAAAAACTGTTTTGGCAGCTGTTTTTAAAAGTGTTAATAATTTTAAGTACACACGCATGTCTTAAATATTCACGCAATATACTAAAACTAGTCTTTTACTTTTAATTCATTTAATTTTAGTTTAAAGATCAGATAGAGGTTATTGCAATTCGAATTATAACTATTTATATAGAAAAATTTGCTGATAGAGGGTTTTGCAGAATAATGAAAATGTCAGTTCTTTAGACGTAAATACTATGTTAAACTAAGATTTTAATGCAGAAATCATAGGTGTGAAAATTCGTTCCCTTCTATTCCGATGTGCCCAGGTAACCACATAATTTTAAATGTGTTTTTGTGTCAAAAGAGTATTTCACGTGATTTCGAAATTATATGAGAATCATTAGCACTGTTAAAAGAGGCTTCGCTGGCTGGTTTACTGTCCGTTCAGATGAGGAAATTTCCTTCGTTTATAGAGGCGAAACTTACAGCTGATTCGGCTGTAAATGCCGAGCAGTACGGGGGAAAAGCACTGAAGACAATTGTAACACCCAGCCCTTTTGTTACCACCATATCTGGAACCGTCTGTGAAAATAAGCTCCCAGGTAATTTATGAGTATCAAACTGGGCAAATGCTCTTGCGGTAGAGTTTTTACTTTAGTAAGCATCGGATGATGTCGAAATCTTTGATGTAGCTTAATATACGAAATAAAGGTGATTGCTTGCTACATCAGTTTTTTTGTTGAAAGCAGGATTCGACGTGAGAGATAGCTTTTATTGGCGAGGTGGGAAATGCACGGATGCTTTTTCTCCTCTGCTACATAGTAAGGTGTTTCTAGCAATTTAAGATGTTTTTTTGCGCAGTGTCCATAAATTACGAGCCCAAAGTCAACTTTTACATAATGACAGTTCTGCTTAAAAGTAGGTTTATTGTAAAACATCATTCCAAATATTTTCAATGTATCAGTATAGGGGAGGGGTGTTAGACAAGGAGAGGGTTGGATGTATGTATTTATTTGTATTTTCTGCATATGTGAAAAAATTACTTTTTCAGCTTAAATCTGAGCTCCTGAAGATTTGGACCAATTGATTAGATCGTTTAGTATGTTAGAAAAAATAATTTTTACTTGCGTCAAGTCCTTAGTCTTAGAAAAAATTAAAATATCATTAGCGTATTTAGTTTGGCAATAGGAATAATAATAGCAGTTTCCCACTCTTGATGATATAACCCTTGAAATAAAATGTAGTTATGGAGTTTAATGACTCTATGTTTGATGGGATACGCATGATTTTTTAGAACGGGGTACGGGATTTTGTCTGCACCAGGGCTTTTGCCTGTCATCGAAGAGATGGTTGGTCAAACTCTTAAATAGATATGAGTAAGAGAGAATTGTGGGAATCTTCGGACCAAGTGGAGGCAAATAAACATATACACATCGCTCATTTACTTTAGTAGTGTCATAATCCAAAAAATACAAATTTTGTGTTGAGTATGCAGAAATTATCGCTACGTCTTCTTCTATTTCGTGTAAAAATATCATAGCTGTATCGATTAAGCCCTGTATGCAGCTCTCAAGAAAACGGTCAAGAAAAAATTGCCATTATTTCGCGTGTGTGTCCAAGGAATTTTGACATTTTTTGATACTTCACAGCCTGTTGCCTCACTCTTTACTCAAGAAATAATGGAACGGGCATATATTTCTGTTGCAAAACTGGGTTGCCTTATGCTCTTTCTTCACAAAAAACTTTAGAAAACCGTAGTAGAAAGCGTAGTAAATTTCTTAAGAACTGCGTACTGCCTTAAGGAAATTTGACTCAAGAAAATTTCTTAGCCATTTCTTGTACGTCATTTTATATGGAGTTTTTGCTTTTCTTGAGAGCTGCATACAGGCCTTTACCAGAATCTCACTAGAATAAAATATGTATTCATTTTTAGTATCGGCGTATATGTAAATTCAAAACTTTAAAGCCGTCTTTCTCGAGTTTTGATTTTTTGAGTTATGACATTATTGTAGTAAATGAGCGGACATGTATATACCTGTAAGCTACCGGCCAAACCCGATCTTAGAATAAACTATTTTTGTAACTCTCATCATCAGTCCAACTGAAGCTACGCAGTCCACAAGATTTGGTTTCGGTTGGACATCGCATTAGGTAGAACAAGTTTAGCCTGGGCAAAACTAGTTTGACCTAAGATCGGATTTTACCGGAACATATACATACATGCATCGGCACATGTAACTTACCCAGTCTTTATTTTACCTGCCACAAAAAAATGGTAATGAAGCAAAATTGTGTAGATAGAGGATTTTGCTTTTGTAACAAAATGTTATTGCAGATAGTGGATTT